ACTCTTTTTAACAAGCCAAGTAAAATAAAGTTGGAACAAAGACATGGAGAAAGCAACAAAGGATAGAAATAATATTAAATAAATATTAAATTAAATTAAGCCTACATATATTTTGTTTTACTCTTTTGTAAGCCCTGGAATATTAATATCTGTCAAGAATGCACTGTGCTGTTTCTATCACTTCCAACTAGACTTAAAACAGCTACTTTATTACTGAGGGATTGTTGATTTGTTTTTTTAATCAAAGGTGCAAACAACTTTATCCTCAACAATGATTCCACCACTACCTGGTTAATGTAACAAAAAAAAAAAACACTGTCTTCAGCACCCAATTTATAACTTAATTAACAAGAGTGTCTCTTTGAACAAACGGAAAATTGGTCTAACCAAATTTGTCAAAATAAAAACATGTTGCCAAGTATGAGAGAGGGAAGCATACAAGCTGAAAACCAAACCAAAACTTCCACATGAACATAAGGACACTTTAGGAGCTAAACCTCGTATATTAGCATAAATGTCATATTGCCTTGAAATTCACCTAACCAGCGAAGGGCATTTCACAGGGCAGTTGAAAGTCTGCTTGTCGATGGTTTCATCTCATCAAGGCGGACATGTATTACAAAGCAATTGGCACTGTTTTTTACTTCAGAAAGCCAAACAAAGCTGTTAGCATTTTTAGGTTCATCAGATCCACAGAGATGGAATCAGCTTTGAGAATAGCATCACCTCCACCAGAGGCGATGTCTGGATGATAGTGGATTTCAGCTGTACTTCTACACATGTCTGAAAATCACTGTTCCTACTGGACAGGAATGACTAGATCACAGATCAGTAAATGGAAGAAAACTACTCAAGTTGTAAGAGCTGCGTATTAGTGATATTACAGCTTAAAAATAATTATGACTGCCAAGAAAAGCTAATTTGCCAAACTGCTTCTAATTTTGGAGCGCCCATAGTGGTATGTAAATCAGGCTGAGGAGACAGTGTGCTCGCTGCACTACCCGCTAAATACCTGCAGCAGCATTGCTCAGCATAAGACAGTGGATCAGGGATGGCTTCAGGTCCCGCTACGGTGCATTGTTAGATCAAAGAAATGCATGTTTCCTGTATTTGGGTCAGATGGGGACTGGATCAAAAGTGAGCTGCACCAGTGTCCAAACAGGAGTTGACTGATCAACCTCAAAAAGTGGACCTGGGGCCAGTTAATGGTCTAGAATTAGGGTAAACTAGGGTTCTAAATAAAAAAAAAACTCTTTGATATGAATTGTTTAATATGTTAATATTTGAGCAACTTTTACTTTGCACTCCTGGTTATGATGTGCAAAACCCTTTAAAAAGGTTTTTTTTTTCACACTAGCAAAAAATAATATTGCAAAAAAAAAAGTAAAAAAAAAACTAACTTTATATTACATCAATTAATTCAGTAAAAAAAAAAACTGTTATGGTTCTTATTTGTTGTGAGACTGAGTTTTCAGTTTTCTGTTATCAGTTCTTTTGTTTTTATTTTCCATGATCTTCAAGCATTCTTTAGTTACTCTCTGTTGCCCCCTTGTGATTGTTTTCTTTTCCCTTGGATTCCCTCTTGCCAGTTCCACCCACACCTGCTCCTCATTCAGCTCGTTAGTCCATCCTTTTGTTTGGTTGTCCTTAAATACTCCACCTCTGCAGTCACTCAGTGCTGGTTCCTTCTTGTTGCTGTATAGTCTACTCTGCTCGCACTCTCCCCGGCTCTTTAGACTCGTCTTTCCCCTGATGTCTCCATGATTTTGGTTTGTTTTATATTTTAAGTTGGATTTCTGCTGCTTTTGGGTCTACAATTAAACCTCTCAGAACTCATCCCTGCTTCACTTGTCTCTGCATCTGGGTCCTCAAGCAACCTCACCACCCATTGTTGACAAAAACATAAGAAATCTGACAGCATTACCCATATTTTCCAACTTTCTAGTGTCACAATCTGTGACACTCCTAGCATTATCTCTGCTTCTGTCACCTTGAACCCCAGTCGGCCTCAGCAGATGACCACTCACACTGAAACCTGGTTCTGCTGGAGGTTTCTTCCTGTTTAAAGGGAGTTTTTCCTCTCCACTGTCGCTACAACCATGCTTAGTATGAGGGATTGCTGAAGCAGTGGCGGCCGGCCCATAGGGGGCGCTGGGGCACCGCCCTCCCTGATAAGAAGAGAGAAACGTAAAATATATTTTTAGAAATTAACTCATAAATGTCTGTTTTACTCTCTAGACTGTGTAACTATAAGCAAAACAAATTATATAAACTACATTTCCCTATCTACTGTCATTAATTTGTGGATTTCCACAGACAGACTCCTACCGTCTCTGTTCTGGGGGCTGTGATCAGACTGACCCACATTTGCAGAGAATCTGTCAATCATGTACTATTGCTAGGTGAATTTAATGGCCAATCAGCGTCTCGGAACTTTATGGTATTGGGGCGCTGAAAATACTGCGCTTTTACAGGCTTCTCTTCTGAACCCAAGCGCAGGTGCAGACAATTAGAGGGAAGATGGCGAATGTAACGAGCGAGATGCAGCTTCCACCAAATTCGGTGAGATCCTTATTTATCTACCCGTTTGCCAGAAGAACATCCCTGTTGTATGATATGAACATTTCATTTCATGGTTATTGTGACTGTGACGAATCCACCTCGTCGCTTAAAACAACCTCTCTAACTTTGCGCGCCACACACACATTCCTGTTATACTGTGTTTGTGAGGACCAATACACTCGCGCTGAGATCAGTAGCTCTATTAACTTAAAACACACAAGCTGTCCTGGTTACCTGCTATTGAGGGTGCACACTTAATATTTCAGTGGGGTTAGCCGTGTGTGTGTGTGTGTGTGTGTGTGTGTGTGGGTATGTGGGGGGTGTGGGTGTGTACGTGTTTATGCGGGGACTTGTCATCTTCAGTCTGGCTGCGTCTTTGCTGGGTTCAAACCCAGTTTGGTGTAATTGAATAAGTCAATGAATCTGTGTAAAAGAATTAAGTTGTAAAAATTATTTGTTTTTGTACATCAATTGTTTGTGGAGGTAATATATGGACAAAACTGATTAATGAGAAGAAATCAGAAATAAGAGACCCTGAGGTGAGGGGCTTAAACTATTTAATGAGGGCTGTGGGAAGAAAAGTGGCAATTTTTGTTTTCTGTTTCTTTGTTACATTGCTGGTAACTGGAGGGAGGCTGAGGCCCAGAGTATCTTGTATATGTTTAGTTTCTTTTGCACCCTGTTTTGAGTTTTTGAGCTCAATAAATCACCAACACCGGTAACCCGACTGAGACTGGATTCTTGGAGGCCAAAGAACCCCGTCACAGTGACCCAAATCATCACTGTTACTGTTATTATATAGTAAATTAAATCATTACTGTTAAATTGTATGTATTGTCCAATTGTTTATTTGAATTCTTATTCCGGGTTAGTTGGAGACATACACTAGGCTATATCAGCCCCACCAAAAATATTTTTCACCAGCCGCCACTGTGCTGAAGAGTCAATGAGTCGATGCAATCAGCTGGTTTTCACGAGATAGAAAACTTAAAGTTGACTTCATGATTTGGTGAACTGTAAAGTGCCTTGAGATGACATGTTGTAAATTCGTGCTATAGAAATAAACTGAATTGAATTGTATTAAATGTAAAAACAGACATTTTAATTTAATAATTTTTGCGTGGTACTTTTTACTAGTTTTCCATAAAAAGATAAAAATATAATAGAACTAATCAATAGGTTAAACAAACTAATAAAAACACAAATTAAGGCACAGTCAGTATTATCACATTACTAGGGGGTGTTGTGTTGTGCAACTGCAATAAAATATTTATTCAAAGGGTTTTACACATCTTTACTGGTGGTGGTAAAAAAGCAGGATGCTTTACATGTTTGATGACCTAAATAAAACAGGTGGGACTTGCAAAATAAAAGAAATTGTGTATCTTATAGCCTGGCTGCATGTGCAAAGCAGCAGAAAACTGAATTAGGTATAAGTAGCTTCATTTTGTAAGCTTGACCTTAATGCATCTTTGTTACTATTCTACAATAAAATAATTTAAATTAATTTCCGTTGAATTCTTGTTTTTATTGCAATGTTCATAATTGTAACATATTAATCCTGTTACAATAAACCCTAAGAATGTTTGCACAATTAAGTCCTGCAGCTCACTCCTAAACTGACCCTGTATTTCTCCCACTTAACCCTTAGTGCTGGGAACCACCAGAAACCTAAAAGTTATATATTTTTCTTAGTAGCACACCATCATGTTTTTATGTAGGAGATGCAGAATTAAGGAAAGGATGTGGTAGTGATGTACTTATTTGGAGAGGACACACTGAGATTGATGCTTGCATAAAAAAGCACCCCTTTAGGAAAAAAAAAAAATTGGAGATCACCGTGTTCCTAATATTCTCCCTCCCTTACATGCCATTGCTCCTTTTCATCAAAACACATAAAAAAAAAAAAAAAGCTGTTCAAAGACTCCTGAAATGCCTCAGCTCTTTATCACGCACTGTCTTCACTATCACAACATCTAAACACTCCTCAGGAGGACTTGACCTGTGGTTGTGATATCAAAAATTCATGCTGCCAGCGATCTATAAATACAGAGGCGGTATCTCACTGCAGCAAAGTGTAAATCAGATTCAAGAATGTGCATGAACTTTCCAAAAAGAAAAGTCTAACTAAATCACCTTGGCTGTGAGGAATCTTGCACATGTATAAGGACTGAAACACACAATACCATACATATTATGTTAAGCGGCTGAATTATGATGAAAATTATGAAATGGTGGGAGATTTTTCACTTCTTGTTGTCATCTGGCCTAGATGGTAAAAGACTACAGTGGGGTTTGGCATGAGAAAAGAGGAGCGAAGCATCTGGGCTCTGCTGGATGTGAGCAGGCGGGGAAGTGAGCTGCATTAGGTTCAAAGCTGCAGGGTCAGGGCAACACTTGCTTAGAGCAGAGATTAGAGAGGTCAAGGATGAACTTACGGACTGGCTCCGTCTTAAAAAGGCTGGTACGGCTGCTCTCGCCCTCGCCTTTCCCGTTGATGGCGGACATCTTGACCTCGTAGGTAGTCTCTGGTTTCAGTCCGTCGATGATCACGCTGGTCATGTCTGTTTAAAAGATGCTGAGGTTATTCACTAAATAACAAGAATAAAAGAAAAAGAACAAGGGTCACCACTAGTTACTAATTTAGGTTGTGGAAACAGAATAAAAAACTTAAGATTTGTGTGTTTTTTTCTTAAATAAACCCGTGATATAAAATTGCTGCTCATTTTAATCCTGGTCACAAAATTGAGGAGAAACTAGCTTTAGGTAGAACGTAATTCTTTCAAAAAGAACCAATAACTAATCATATATGTAAATTTTTATTGTGTTTATTCGATTCCATCATAATTTTTATTTATTATGTATTTATTTTAGCATTTCATAAAGCTTCCCCTTCATTGGTTTGCACTAGGACTCAGCAATTGATTGATAAAATTTATTAATCCGATTTTTTATCTTTTGATGATTTGATTTTTGGACAATTAAGAATCTGTTGAGCAAAGCATCTGGGCTCTTTTATGTATGCAATAACAGATGTGTACTCATAACTGATAATGAAATCATGTTCAGTCCTTAAGAGCTACCATCCTGAAATATTTCAATACATCTCTCCTCTAACACTCCTGAATTTAAATGCTCAGTTCCTCTCATTTAGCTCAGCAGAGCCATTTTGATGAGCCACTCATTTGATTCATTTTTAACACTCATTTGTGTTAAAAATGGGATACAACCAAAAGTTGCAGGACAGTAACTCTTGAGGACTGAAGTTGAGCACCCCTGACCTAAAATCCCCAAGAAAATCAAGTCTTTTGCAAAATTACATGTATTTCAAGTTGATTTGTGCAGTTTACTCTTTGAATAAATCATATGATAAACCGTAATGTAAATTGATAAAAATATAGCCACTCTGAATATTTATTCTATAAACAGATTATGTTTAAAACAAACGCTGATCAAGACGTGTAAATACACAGTATCTCGGAAAAGTAGACATAGTTCTCTCAGGAAATAGGTCAGAACAAATGTAAGTAAATTCTAAAGTGGAACAAAAGAGATAAATGATTTCCTGAACATTTTGGTTTTTATTTGTAAAGATTTGCCTACTGTTTCTACCACAAATTCTACATAGACCCATAAGACTGATATGGCATACCCAAAATCTGTAATGATCTTGGTTCTGTTGGTTTTTCTATTGTCAGGGTTTAGTTGTGGTTTGAGGACCCAAATGCAGAGACTGACAGGCAGGGGTGAGTTCTTTAAATATTTAATGAAATATCAGGCAGCAAAAACAGGAATCCAAAAAAAATCCAACTTAAAAATGTTAAACAAAAAAAAAGGATAACAACATTTACATTTAATTCTTAGCACTGAGAGTGGGAGATATATGTGATGTTTTGAAGTCGTAGTAGAGCCTCATTGGTTCTTTGTTCAAGCTTAGTCTGAACTTTCTTCATTCTTGGTTTTCATGTTGAATTTGCAGGGCAGAGCTGTGTAGACTAGCCCTGGACAAGAACATTGCCCTTTATCCTATTTCTTTCCATTAATAGCTTCTCAAGACATCTGTGTACAAAGCTATATGTGTGGATAGGGAATGAATCTGCTGTTGGCCTTTTCTCTCTTTTTTGCTCTATTTACTTTTTACAACTGTTAAATATGGCTCAGATTACTTTTTACAACTGTTAAATGTAGCTCAGTTAGTGTCCTTTCATTGGTTGGTTTCCCTAGATGGCAGTTCTCCTAAAACATCCTGAAAGGTCTGGCTCTCAAAAAAAGACAAAGTGCTACTTTTATCCCCATGAATGACATATGTTTTTTTTATGATGAATAACGTTTTGCCAAGACATGGAACATAATATCACGTTCATGAAAAATATAATATTTACAGATGGAGCATAAGGAGATTATTGTATTCTATTTCTAGAAACACTGGTAAATCTCATATACTGAAACATTTTTGAAACGTTTAATTTAAAAAATAAAAGACAGTTTATTACAAAGGACCACAGTTTCAATGTCCAGGTAATAATAATAGACGTAGTGTAATGATCTTGGTTCTGTTGGTTTTTCTCTAAGTTTTCAGTTTCAAGTTCATCCAGGTTTTTCCTTGTTTTCTAGCTTTATTGGTGTGTTCTAGATTCATTTCTGTCACGATTTGTTTGGAGGTTTTTGTGAGGACCCAAATGCAGAGGCTGACAGGCGGGGCTGAGTTCTTAAAAGATTTAATGAAAGAACAGGCAACAAAAACAGGTATCCAAAAATCCAACATAAAAATAAAACACAAACCAGAACCATGGAGACATCATGGTTCTGGTTCATCATGGAGACATCCTTGATGGGAAAACCATCAAGGAGCCAGTGAGGAAAAGTAAGCTGAGGAACCAGCACTGAGGGACTGAGGGAGTGTATTTATGGCTGACTGAACAAAGGAAGGACTAACGAGCTGATAAGGAGCAGGTGTGAGTAGAGCTGAGGAGGAAGCCAAGGGAAAAGAAAACACAAGGGGGCAACAGAGGACAGACAAAGAAAAACCTAAGAAACTTAAATGAATCCAGAACACACCAATAAAGCCAGAAAACAAGGAAAAAACCTGGATGAACTTGAAACTGAAAACTTAGAGAAAAACCAACAGAACCAAGATTATTACAAAATGTAGATTTAATAAAACCCCAAACTCACCAAAGTTCAATTTTCCCTTAGTCAATTCAATTCAAAGTTTGGTACAAATTTCCACCTCTTGTTCCTCTCTCCACACATGTAACCATATGGAGTCAACCAAAAGCACCACATGTGTATCAGAGCCAGCTGACCAATATTATTTCATTTATTGGTGAATAGTGGCAACCACAAAGAAGAGAAGGTAAAAATGCTGAACTCTCTAAACAATCTCTCAATTTCGTTCCTAAAAGTAATCTCTACAACGTAAGAACTGCTGTATTTCAGCAGCATGGAGGTCCAGCCTCCTGGACACATTCCAAGTCAGATGCTAATCAATTAGCCACCCTTTGTTCTTCTGGATTGTTCGAACCTTTTGCTGTGCATGGGCTATGTGATTAGTCTTTTGAATCATATTGGGAGAGCTTATTTAACTTCTTGGGAATAAGTTCTATGACTGAAATGTAAATGCTTGGAAGCTGAAACTACACTCATCCCCCTCTTTTTTACTGAGTGAAAGTCTTATTGCCTTCCAATTGAAGCTTTTTTTGTGGTTTGTGTAGGTTTATCATTTGCATATTTGATATTTTATTATTGTACAGTAAAATCACCAAAATGATGATAAAATTAGACTGATATAATAATTTTCAAGGCAGAGTATAACGATATAGTCACAGACATCTCCTCTGTAGGAAAGCTGCACAAAACAAAAAAAAAAAAAAAAAAAGAATCAGGAGGAGAGCTCTCATTTTTGGTGAAACTGGAAAAAATGAGAGGAGGAAGAAAGCACGACAAAAGGTGAAAAAAATAAGCACTGTGGCTCCCAATACAGATTTAATTGCAGGGAATGAATTAAATTAAAGATCCATTGAAACTTGAGGCCCATCAGGTGTAGAACAATAGTAACCCAATCAATAGCTCTATGAGTGCAGTCGCTGAGTGCAAGTTTCATGCATCAGGTAAATTAATTAGACAATGTTAGGATTCAGGCAGCTACTACACGCACAACATGCATGTGTTTCCTAACTCGTGTTATAAAAAGACACTTGGCTGATACCCCACTCTGCAATACAAAGAAGAGTAATTTCATAGCCAAGAGCCAATTTCAGCTATGCAAAAGCCCCCACCTGTGCAACATCTCTCCATTACTCTGACGCCCTGTCTTAGATTAACATCTCAATCAGAGGAGGTTTCAGAGAAATCCATTTACATACAACTAGAAAGCATTAGACCAGATGGATTCAGAGTTGGGCTTTTAGCGCTGGGCTAAAATTGATGTCAGCGCTGAAACAGTTCATGTTTTGATGAAATTTCTTGGCCGCCTGCAGTAATTTGGTTCCTGCTGCTTCTGGAAAAGGTTATCTCCACGGAGCCTCGCAGTTGTTACAATCTCAGCTCTACTCAGTCCCTGTTACCCTTTGTGCTCCTACAAAACATCCGACTGCAGAATGAAGAGGTCTGTACTACAAACAAATACGAAATTCATCAGTTTAATTTTTGAGAAAAGCAAAAGTTAAAACAAATGATTCTACACTGGCGTTGCATGAGTTTAAAAGGGATGTCTGGGATCTTTAACAGGGATAGAGCCGTGGAGCATATCACAGAGACCAGAGCAATAGAACACAGTTCAATCTGAAAAACTCATAAGGAAAGAAAAGACGATTAGAGAAATTTTATTGGTACAATTACTTTAGTCTTTGATGCTCAGACCTCGGCAGGAAACATAGTGATGAATTTTGTTTGATAAGCATGAACAGGAGTAAAGAACAGGGATGTTTTTTGCCCCCAGGCCTAATGGTGGTGGAGTGGAGATGGATGAAGTTGGTCAGACGGTGTGTTTGAGATGTAAGGAGAGATCCAGTGGACTGTTTGAGCTGATACAGTGCACTGGATGCTTCACTCAGGAACCTAGAAGATGGACGTTCAGCTTGCTTCATGATGAACAAGCATAAAGCGACAGTGGAGAGGAAAAACTCCCTAATGGGAAGAAACCCCTGGCAGAATTATGCTCAACATGGTGGTCTTCTGCCGGACCGGTTGAGATGAGATAAGGAACGCAATAAGACTCTGGGAGGAATGAAACTCTTATGAAGCATTAGCTATGAACAATCCCCCCCTTAACGACCAACCTTTCACAATCATAGACAGGTTTCAGATATTACAGGCTAACAATGGAACCAAACGACCCGCTCATCAGGTCAATTTGCTTCTTTTCAAGCAATACAAGGCCTTGTTTTTTTGGTGTCAAACTTAATGGGAATCCAGCCTTTTTGAATTGAGAAAGCTTCCTGGATGGAAAGCGAAACGTCTTCAAACCTTGAAAACAAAGTCCAGTGGATTGGTTTTTAAAATTTTCAGAATTAGCTAAGATGGTGGAGGACGGGCTGGAGGTGGGTTGAAATGGGGTCGTTCGAATTGAAGGCAGACATAGCGCAACCACCGCCTGCGCTTTGGGTAGCAGACAGAGTTGTGGATTGGAGATCTTTTAAGATAACTTTGGATGCTGATTGGGCTTTTGTGGAGAAGCTGATTAGCTTTAGCCTCGTGAGACCATCCTGATCTCGCAAGCCTTCAAGGTTTCACTCGCAGATCAGTGTGGCTACTTTCCGTTAAAGAAAATTTGGAGCCGTTCACCAAACGAACGTCCAATCAGCGTTGGCTTTGAGGCGGGTTGAGGTGTGACGCAACGAGAAGCGCGACAGTTCAGTCTAAAGAACATGGCGGCTTCAGCCGATGAAACTAGCGTTAGCGTGGCTATCGAGCAAGTTTTATCGGAATTACAGAGTATTTCCTCACTGAAAGAAGAGCAAAACACTGCTCTGGAGGCTTTTCTCAGAGGAAAAGATGTTTTTGCTCTTCTCCCGACTGGTTTCGGCAAGAGTTACGTAATATGCTTCGTTGATCTGATTGGTTTATTTGGCCCGTCTATCACCAACATAGGCCAATCAGCTAATCAGTATTTTCGCCCCTTCCCAAAATTACTTCAATGGAAGGTTTCCAAATGGATATGCGGAGCAAATCCAGGAAAGATTAGCTTGTGTCGGAGGCGGATGAAGGCGAGTAACGAGTTTATTCAGTTTAACTTCCGCCTAGGCTCCATTTTAAATATATCACAGCTTTAAAGTTTTGCTGAAAATACAACACACAAAAATATCTTCTCTAATGCAGATAACTTTTGGTGGTGAGCCTTTCTATTTAATTTGCATCTTTTTTTAATTTTTCTTTGTGGACATAAGGAAGCTGTATGATTCCACCATGGTTGGTGAGATGCAGTCACTATTCCACTGCTTTTCAACATGTGACGGCAGCTCCACTTCACAATACTTTGAAAAACACAAGGGGCTTTCTGTTGAAACACTCAGCCAAACTTGGATTCTTTTCTTTTCTGGCATATTGCTGCTTCATCTACCTCAAGTGTACTCTTTCTGATTTTGGAGAGTAACAAGGCTTGGAAAATGTCTTTTCAATGTGTGTGCTTTACAAGCACTTCAAGTTCTCTGAGGCAGAGAAGATGTTGTAGCAAGGCTGAAGATTTTTGCTAGCATTTACTGTTCACCCATGTGTTCAGCTATGCGAACATGTTTGCATGAGGAGCAGCTCTCGGGCCCTGGCGCTGACAGCTGAGCCTGTCAGCTGCTGAATGATATATCCCATGTGGCAGGGAAGATGAAAACCGTCCAGATTTGTGAGCGCCACAAGCCGTCAGGAGGACAGGGATTTTTATCTGGGGCCTGTCAAGTGTCTCAACTTGCTGTCATCTAGACTAGACTGTGGTCTACCTCTTGTCCTGCTCAGCTACTGTCATGTCTGGATTACCTGCTGGTGCAATGCTGATGCACTGACACAAAATAATCCCGATTGTGAAACATTACTGAAAGCCTTTCATATTTACCTTTACTGCCTAAAATTTAACCCTTTAAAGCCCGATCCAAGAATAAAACAAAACAGAAAATTACTTTTTTTTGGTTTGAAGTTTGGCCTTTTAACAAAATATGTAAAAAGAAAAAACAGAAATACATTTTTGATATTAATAATTTATTACTATGCGATAAGTCAAGATAATTTTTTTGTGTAGTCTTCTACTGGCTGTTGTCAGGTATATCTGATTGTGTACAATAGGATTTTGAGCAAGGTTTTTACCGTTAAATTATGCAAAAGGTGTCAGACTCAAAACATTTCAGAAACCGTATGTATCAAATATGATTCATTTGGCATTACAGGGTTAAAATGTTACAATTTACATATACAATTTACCATTACTGCTTAAAATTGAAAATGTTACAATCGGTCCAGCTTGCGAATAAATTGAACAATTTCTCAATATGTAAATATGAGCAGTGAGAAAATTTTAACAAAGCTAAAATTAATTGGTAATAAAAGTGTAAATATGTAATCATAGAACAGAATAATATAACAGTTTCTATTTTATAACATGGTTCTGTTATATTTCACTCATATTAGGACACAAACTTGCTGATGTAAAAATGGCTAATCATTGATTTACCAAAAATTCACTAAAGCAGCATTCAGTTGAACTGATGCTATTGGTGGTTTCTAAAAGATAGATTTTAACAAAAAGCAAATTCAACAATAGTTCTGTTAAATGATTGTACAATTATGTCATATTGCTTTTATTGTATTCTTTTTTTTACAATAATAATTGCTTTGATTTTTTGTGTTTTATCTGTTGTGCAGCACTTTGGTCAGCACTGTATTAATTCTTTAAAGTGCTCTTTAAGTAAACATGGTGGGGTATGGGATACAGGATAATTATATATATTCAAGGTTCAGATTACATGGTATCGTATTAATAGAAATTGGCTTTTATGCTATTACCTTATTGTGACAGTCCTTATATTGAAAATTTAAGTAAGTAGTACGATAGCTGTAGAAGCAGCTAATGCAAAAAAGGTCTAAATTTGCAGTACTGCTGGAATTAACATAAAGGCAAGACCATAGCGCAGAGGTGATTGATTAGCGGACCGTGTTCCGGATCTGGACCCACCTGCTGGCTAATCCAGACCCAACCTGATTTAAAAGATTTATAAATTATTGCATGTTGTCCAACGACAGTGTCTAACTTCACTTGCGCCGCTTCTACTGTTTGTACGGTAAAGCCGTCCGGAGCGCTTAGACCAGGCTACACGTGATACAAATTAGCCAATGAGCTGTCAGATTGGGTAACTATGTGAGCTACCTCTAGACACAGCAGGCAAACCTGTGGCAAGCCGGGCGATGGTAAAGAAGGAGAAGACGATGAGAAAAAGAGAGCAGAGAAAGTGTGGACTGCTGGAAGAACTGCAGTGAACTGGTGAAAGAAAAGTGAAATGGGGTGCTCAAAGATGACCCTGCACATTTAGAGGATGTTTGGCTCAACCTGCTGCTGTGAAGCAGGATTCTCCACCATGAACAGAATCAACAATAAATCTGGATCCAGGCTCAAAATGAGCCCCTTGATATGTGCTTGAGAATGGCTTAGTCTCCATTTAAACCCAGGTTTAAAGCCTTGCAGGGCAGCCTAAAGCCCACTGCCAACATTAAGACAGACAAAAGAAAGAAAAATAACAAACGCTCAGTTCAGGTGTTTTATAAGACATGTGAATCAGGAAATGAAAAGGACCTTTATTGGTTGATGATTTTCTGTATTTGGACCCCACTGATTTTTAATTGGTAACCCCTGCCATAGCGCGTTTGGAAATGTTTCAAAAAGTGGTGAAAGATTTTGCAAAACCAAACAATTATTTTGGTTAGTCTGCATTCAATTTAAAAGGTATAGTGGAGGAGTTTCCCCAGATTTTTAAAAGACCCGCCCTGTCCACTTTAAAAAAATGCACATGCACAACCCTGTACCCGCTCCACAGAGGGAATGCCTATTAAACGCGTGCGAGAGCGTGCACAGACTCACCACCGGTAAGTGAAAATGGGGACGAGCACGCACGACGGCCTTACATAAACATATGACCAGAATGATTGACATTTAGGAGGAACACTTATTTTTATGATTCACTGGGAAAAAGAACATTCTATAATATACCTTTAAATAAGCTAAATCAATCATTATGAGCAGGTTCTGATTTAACTTTTAATATAAAATCAACAGCAAGGATTGAGCATCCTTTATTGTTAGGAGACCTCTTGTACTAACTATTCTTTGTCAAAGTAAGTTTTTATACTTATATAAGAGAGGATCTGACTTTTTGATTTCACTCTTAACACCATGAAAAACAAATTTTTATCACTTCAGCATTTAAAAAAACACCTTCACTGTTAAAATATATTACACCAAAAGATTATGAATATTCTGTCTTTGTTCTTTTCCAGGGAAAAAAAGAAATAGCTCACCTGCTTCAGCTTTGTACTCCTCACTTTTCCACTCCCTACCAGGCAGACGCCATTCCACTCTGTACTTTAAAACCGGCACTCCGCCACTGCTGACAGGTTCCTTGAACACCACCTTTGCTGTGCTGGAGAACGGCTGCACTTCTTCGATTATAGGCGACCCCGGCACATCTGCAACAGCAGGTAGAAAAATATAGCAAAGAGAAGTTTAAATTAAACAACAGTTTTTCTATAAAGTGCCTACAGCGAATTAAATCAGTTTTAACACTTCATTTATGAGGGTCTTATGTGAAAGGTGAGAATTTTCTAACACCTAAATCAGGTGTCGGCAACCCAAAATATTCAAAGAGCCATATTGGACCAAAAAAGCAAAAAACAAATCTTTCAGGAGTCTTATACAAGCCAGGTATGGCAACATGGACTCTAAGTGTATCAGTCCACTGTAAAAAAGGACTATGTGGGCTTAAATATATAATAAGCATTCATGATTAAATGTTTATCATGGAGCAAATGTCAAGCATGAGGTGAGGGAGGAGCAGTGAACGCTCTCACGCGTTGAATTCACCGCACGCCATTTCACTGCAGGGTTTAGGTTTTGTTGCATTGATGAAATGATATAAACACGATAAAGGAATCTTTCTATGGTGGACGTGTTTCTGTTGGGAGGAACTGATTGAGTCACGAGGAACAAGGCAGGAGCTGACATCCATCAGAGCAGAGCTCTCCAACCCTGAAATCCCATATCCTCCTCCACCAGCGTTCCTGGGTGATATTTTTATTTTGAGGATTTAGGGGAAAAAAAGAAAAAAAGAGCACTACTTGTTCAATCTGTGGATGGTTTTCCATGCTTGCACAAAACTAACAGCAGTATTGGAGTTAGGAGATGCAATCCACCTCTTAAATCTTTTTTGTGCTCCTCTAATTTATCCAGAAGTTTTGCAATCGCACTCTTTGTCTCACTCCAAACTTTGTGATTGGCTTCATATTTAGCATACTTTTCCTGGAAAATCGGTTACCATTGCATGTTTCCAAGCAATACAAGGCCTTGTCCATATAAGACTCAAACTCACTGCGGATACATTTGAATTGAAAAAGCTTCCTGGAGAGGTGGCGAAACGTCTTCAAATCTTGAAAACCAAGTCCAGTGGATATTTTTTGAATTTTTACGGAATGACTATGACCTGGATGACTGAGAACCTTCATCAGCATATTTTCCTGGAAAATGCCTTTCCAAATTACTTTTTTTTATTTTTTGAGAACTTCTCATTACAAAGAAAAATGCATTCTTCTTTGAATCCTCTGTTCTCTTCAGATATCTTTTCCCTTAGGGATCCATGGCCCAAGACACCCACCTTTGTTTGCCTGGTGCCGTGCTGAAACGTGTACTTCTCTGCATTTAAACCATCCCCTTGGGGAGCAGTGGGCTGCCATTGTGTGGTGCCCGGGGAGCAGTGTGGGGTTAAGGGTCTTGCTCAAGGAGCCAAAGTGGCAGTCTGTGGGAGTGGGGGATCAAACTCACAACCTCAGGATTCAAAGCCCTATGCCCTAACCACTAGGCTGCCACTCCCCTAATAATCACCTCTTACTGATAATTTCTTCTTTAAAGCTTATTACCTCGATTAATATAATGCAACCATTTAAATGAGGAAAGCTGTCTCACACTGGAAATACACCTCTGTTGTTATATGTTTAAAAACATCTGAAATGAGAAGCACTTTTAAAAAAACAAGGTTGGATTCATGTCTCATTAAACCTTTTCTGTGTTGCATTTATTTCCTCTCAGGAGCCCAAAACAATCCGGTAACCGAATGACACCGGAGACGCTAGACTTATCTAAATGAGTTTCCAGCAAAAGCTTCAGATCCCGCCAGCGATGCACTTTGAGTCATGATTAAAGGACTTGATGATGTTTGAAAAACAGCGCTCTGCAGAGCCTGGCTTTGTCTTTATACTCTCCAGGGAAGAGAATAAAGAGTCATGATGGATTATAAGTCCACCAAGATTCATAACTGTCAGGTGGATGTTAGCTTCATCTTATAACCATTGTTTAATCTTATCTTAAAGTTGTAATATAATGTAATATAGTGTCTTGATACTTTAAATTAAAGATCTATGTCTTCCTCCCTTGGTTACCTATAAGTGGGTAATACACACATTAAAGGGAGATTTTCTGTACAATCAGAAAAGACAGCAAAATAGTTTGATCCTTGTAAGCCAGGGCAAAAAACAACAACAACAAAAAAAACCCACTAGACTATAGCTACTGGTCTGTACAGAGTAAGAATAAAAAAAATTTGAAATGAAGCAGAACAAGGAGCCAAATTTAGCTTTCCAACAAAAACACTGGCAGAGGGGTGCAGGTTAGGGGGCGAAAAACAATCACTAGTAGAAAATTACAGTTAATAATGGCATCTTTGAGTCATGAGTGTCCAATAAAAACACAGGTTATTAAAAAAATACCAGCTAAATATTTGTGAGGGCTGTCTTTTTATTAAATCACAAAGGTCTTCTGAACCTTGGCATTTGAAATAAATATTTAATGAATTCTATTGAAAAACTGAACACTGTTTTTATTGAATCTTTTGAAGGTTTAATGATCCATAAAAATATTGTTTAATCAATTAGGAAATGGTTCACCAGTCACATCCTTCTACTATAACAACCAGAGTCCAAAACCTGTAGAAATTATGTGAAAGAGTGGGCCAAGAATCTGGACTATAAGGAGAGTTTTTACAAAAAGGACACTGCCTGTAACTACAAGCCTGGGAAATTTTAAAGGAGACGACAAGATGCTATCCTATTGGGAACTGTGGATGTTCTACTGTAAGTCTTGAAAACAGGGCTACAGTACCCTAAGAGTTGTGGCTAGGGTGACAAGACGTCCTATTTTTCCCGAACATGTACTACTTTTGATACCTAAAAAAAATGTCTCTGGGGAATTTCAAAATCAGCCGGGATTTTGGTCGACTACAGTGCAGCAGGTATGCTGATGAAGATTCCTGGTCATCCAGGTCATAGTCATTCCATAAAAGTTAAAAAATATCCACTGGACTTGGTTTCCAAGATTTGAAGACGTTTCGCCACCTCTCCAGGAAGCTATCTCAATTAAAATGTTGGAATTCATTTCAAAGAGAAAGCTTCCTGGAGAGGTGGCGAAACGTCTTCAAATCTTGGAAACCATGGGGATATGCAGCATCTGGAAACCTTACGTAGAAGTAATTTTGGGAAGGGGCGAAAATACTGGTTAGCTGATTGGCCTATGGTGGTGATAGACGGGCCAAATAAACCAATCAGATCAACGAAGCATATGACGTAACAGAGCGACGACGAAGAGGAGCCAATTGATAGATCAAACTCTTGCCGAAACCAGTCGGGAGAAGAGCAAAAACATCTTTTCCTCTGAGAAAAGCCTCCAGAGCAGTGTTTTGCTTTTCTTTCAGTGAAGAAATACTCTGTAATTCCGATAAAACTTGCTCGATAGCCACGCTAATGCTAGTTTCATCGGCTGAAGCCGCCATGTTCTTTAGACTGAACTGTCGCGCTTCTCGTTGCGTCACACCTCAACCCGCCTCAAAGCCAACGCTGATTGGACCTTCGTTTGGTGAACGGCTCCAAATTTTCTTCAACGGAGAGTCTCCAGACTGATTAGCGAGTGAAATCTTTAAAGCTCGCGAGATCAGGATGGTCTCACAAGGCTAGGGAATCATACCGTCGACAAGTGGGGTTCGGTCACTCCATCCCTGGCCGCCCCACCCCCAAAAAATAGTGTACTCCTTTTCAGTAACCCAAATCTGGCCACCATAGTTGTGGCACATATGTTTTTGGAGGCTATGGTTTCTGCATAGCAGTTAGGTTATTTATGGAGGCGATTGTCTGTATCCTAATGCACTACTGGCCTCCTCTGCAACAGAGATGATTTTACTTTCTTGGGGGGAACAGTCTCTGCTTTAGCCACTCTAGCAGCTGTGGCTCAACGAACAGTCAAAAGCTACTCACTCTCATCATTTGGACATAAACCCCAACATTCAGAAAAAAAATTAATTCCTTGAGCATGTTTTCGTTTCCTTGACTTCAAATTGTGACATACAGACTGCATGAAAGGCCAACGGCTGTAGGAAGCCACTTCAGCTCAACTGATGACGTTTCACAGTGAAGCAGGGAAATTACCTCAAAGAGCCCACAGGATATAACACAATGACACCAAAGGTGTCACCACAATTAATTCGGCCACACACCATTTAGAGATCCTTAGTGACCTATCATTTACAAGGGGTCCAAGGCAATTTGCATGTAAAATGAAATTAGGTCCGACCAAATTCACTGCAGAATAAGAGAAGAGTTTAAAGCTTTATTTTCAGGCTGTGATTCTAGCGTTTTATCTCTCCTTCTCCAATTAAAGCAGAACATCACAGGGTTCTGCAACTTTATTTTCTGTTGCCCACCTTTCAATTACCAAATATAATACATCCGTCTTTTTTGTAGGGGGGGAAAGCACATCTCTGCTACAACCTTTTAAATCATCTCATGGTAATTGGCTCCACAGAAGTGAAAACTATAGTTTAATCATAATAGCCAAACAAATGGGGAAATGTATTTAAATTGAATTTAATCTTCATTAATTTTCTATGCATTCACTGGTTTACATGTATTAACCCCTCAGTGAACCAACCTGCTTGGATTAGGACGAACTCCTTGGAATCGGTGCCTTTTCCATTAGTTGCTGTGCAGTTGTAGCTTCCAAAGTCACTTTGGGACTCAGGTGTAATCTAAGATGTAGAAAGAAAGAAAGCTGAAAACACGATATGCACAGGATGAAACACAAGCAGAGTCACTATGGGTACATCTTATTAATTTATAAGTGAAATAATACAGTAAGTGTCAGTGAAAAGGTCATTTATTTCAAGTATACAGATTCATTCCACATAGGGTAATACTTTTTAAGATTATATATGTAAAAAGTGTTTAATTCTGTGACTTTTGAAAGCTGATAAGAAAATAAAATCTGTCAGCCATTGTTGTTTTTTGTGCATCCTTTTCAACCAAACTTCTTCCTTCCACTCAACCAATTGCATTATGTGCTTGAAAACAAAGCTGAGTCATTAGCTTTCTAAGCTATAACGTTTATTGGTGTTCGATCCTCAATGAGAGTGTGTGCGACTGCCTACTATGATAATAATAAATATGTAGTGATCTTCATGATTAGGTATTATATTTATTTTTTTAAGAGTGTATCCCCATCTTTCTTAGCTCTTGTATTGCAGGATAGCAAATAAAGATGTTTGGTGCATCACCTCCAGATGGCTGGCATTATGGGTGTTGAAGATCCGTATGTTGGTTGAGTTTACACTTGGCAGCTCGACTCCGTCTCGGTACCAAACCACCGAGGCTCTGGGGTTGGCAGTCACCAGACAGGATAAATTGGCTGGGTTTCCTTCCCATGTCCAAGATGCCACAAAACCCTCAATCTTTGGAGTATCTAAAATAACAAAAAGGAAACAACAAAAACAAAAAGTTCATGCTAATAGCGAATGCTAATTGAATTAAAACTTCCAAAATTCAAGCAGTATCCTATTGAAAACCACTGGCTACACTCGAAAACAACGTTCCATGCTGCTTTCTGCATGGTAGCCATTCTCAATTATTCTAGGATGTGGGATAAATATGAAAATGTAATTCTAGGTTACTTTAAAAAGTATATAAGAGACAGGAGGAAAAAGCTCTCTTTCAAAAAGGTAAGGATTAGTCTGGTTTAATCTCGGACTAGAAAAAAAATATCTAGCTTTAAAACTTTTATTTCAGTTTGTAAAAGATAGAATTTCTGCCAAATCAATAATTTTCAATACCTCAATGTGAAATAAGCTAAAATAAACAAAAAAAACAAAAACTATTTTAACAAGTTGGTCCTCTCTGTTCCCAAACATCAGCAGCTAATAAAAGGGATCATGCTGCGTGCCACATAGACGGATTACATCTTCATTGTTTGGAGTGAAGACAGAGGACATGGAGTGAGAGCTGCACTCAAAACAAGTACCTTTCTTATCGATAATTGCTTGGCAACACTGATTCAGCTGTCTGATTATTTTGCTGATTACTCTGCAAGCCTTCAAACAACTGCATCAATGGTTCATTTTGATAACACCTCTGAACTAAAGCACAAAGGTATCAGAGATTATTACTCCAATTATACAGTAATTATCTGTTTTTTGCCTCTTCAAGGAACAGATTTCAATATTAGATTACATAAAACAAATGACAAAGTCCAGTTTGTAAAAGTAAAGTTCTCTGGCCAACCTGATGAAGGTGTTGTGAAGCCCTTTTTTTGGTAATTAATCTTAATTCTGAGATTACGTCACCTGAGTTACCCGAGTAAGGTCCAATAGTGCACATTCATCTACTGTAGTTACACTCTCTCCAACTCAGTCTGAAGGATTTGGATGAGTTTCAAAGGTAGAAAGGAAATAAAGTCCTTGCAGTCGGATTTCAAGTATTCTACAGATGGACGATAAAGCTCCTCACCCTAAGAGACCCTAGAGATCTATCATTTCAGCTTCTTGTATCCTCAAACTCTTTCTTGTAAGTCTAAGTTAAAAACCCATTTGTTTAGAACTGCCTTTAACTGTTGAAGTTAAACTGTTAAAGTTGTTTTATTTGTTTAACTACCTGCATTTAACATTTATCAAGCCCTACCAGTTCAAATATACCAACTAATCAATCAATCAATGCTATCTTAAACTCTTACAGTAGAGGTTTGTCAAAAGAAATTATACTTGAGCTTTAAAATAGCTATTTAAAAAGTCAAAAAAGGCATTGGATTCCTTAGGAGATGTTAAAAAATGGGTATTTGTTTCTGCTGGTAAAAAAAATAAATAAATCACAGTGGTACCACTGACCCAGCCTAGTTGCTAAACCATTTCTCTTGTTGAAATGAGGCAAGTAGACACTGGAAAGTTCCCTAGTCACTTGTTTGGTATGGGAAAGTATTACATCTCCATTAGAGTCAAAATCTATGATTTCATTTGTAAAATAAACAAAGCCATTAGAGACATTTTCAGTCTTTTTCAAAAGGTATCATATGTTTACATAAGTCATTAAAACATATGCAGAATGAAACATTTGGCTAACCAAATAAATGCTGGTATGAAACTTAAAGTAGCATGTGATTATTTATTCAATTTTTTTGGATTTATTGCGTGAACTATATACATATATTAGGGATGGAACGGTGTATGAAAACCGTCCGAACCGTTCGGTTCAACTGTCTCGGTTCGATTCGTGCGTGCTGCGTTCGGTACATGCGCAGCTCCTTTTTCTCATAGGCGACGTGTGTACACTCCAGAGCAGAAGGTGGCGGTACTGCGACCAAAGCCAACCACCAGTAGTAAACAAGAAGAAGAAGAAGCGAAGCAGCATAGCCGGGTGTAGCAGAAAAAAATCTGTTGTATGGGTATGGCGAGTGGGAAAGAATAGGAGTTGGAAGACGCGCCAGCAGCACTTTATAGGTCTGCTGTATGGGACCACTTTGCATTTAGAGTGACCTACGATGACGGCGGAAAGAAAGTTGTAGTTAAAAACAGTGTGCAAGCATTGTGCAACACGTTTTGTTTATGCTAACAGCAACACGACCAACATGTCATGCTAACAATCAACATATACCGAACCGAACCGGAAATCGTGACCACGAAACCGTGAACCGAACCGTGGATTTTGTGAACTGTTCCACCCTTAATATATATATATATATATATACACTATATTGCCAAAAGTATTTGCTCACCCATCCAAATTATTGGAATCAGGTGTTCCAATCACTTCCATGGCCACAGGTGTATAAATTCAAGCACCTAGGCATGCAGACTGTTTTTACAAACATTTGTGAAAGAATGGGTCGCTCTCAGGAGCTCAGTGAATTCCAGCGTGGAACTGTGATAGGATGCCACCTGTGCAACAAATCCAGTCGTGAAATTTCCTCGCTCCTAAATATTCCACAGTCAACTGTCAGCTGTATTATAAGAAAATGGAAGTGTTTGGGAACGACAGCAACTCAGCCACGAAGTGGTAGGCCACGTAAACTGACGGAGCGGGGTCAGCGGATGCTGACGCGCATAGTGCGAAGAGGTCGCCAACTTTCTGCAGAGTCAATCACTACAGACCTCCAAACATCATGTGGCCTTCAGATTAGCTCAAGAACAGTGCGCAGAGAGCTTCATGGAATGGGTTTCCATGGTCGAGCAGCTGCATCCAAGCCATACATCACCAAGTGCAATGCAAAGCGTCGGATGCGGTGGTGTAAAGCACGCCGCCACTGGACTCTAGAGCAGTGGAGACGCGTTCTCTGGAGTGACGAATCGCGCTTCTCCATCTGGCAATCTGATGGACGGGTCTGGGTTTGGCGGTTGCCAGGAGAACGGTACTTGTCTGACTGCATTGTGCCAAGTGTAAAGTTTGGTGGAGGGGGGATTATGGTGTGGGGTTGTTTTTCAGGAGCTGGGCTTGGCCCCTTAGTTCCAGTGAAAGGAACTCTGAATGCTTCAGCATACCAAGACATTTTGGACAATTCCATGCTCCCAACTTTGTGGGAACAGTTTGGAGCTGGCCCCTTCCTCTTCCAACATGACTGTGCACCAGTGCACAAAGCAAGGTCCATAAAGACATGGATGACAGAGTCTGGTGTGGATGAACTTGACTGGCCTGCACAGAGTCCTGACCTCAACCCGATAGAACACCTTTGGGATGAATTAGAGCGGAGACTGAGAGCCAGGCCTTCTCGTCCAACATCAGTGTGCGACCTCACAAATGCGCTTCTGGAAGAATGGTCAAAAATTCCCATAAACACACTCCTAAACCTTGTGGACAGCCTTCCCAGAAGAGTTGAAGCTGTTCTAGCTGCAAAGGGTGGACCGACGTCATATTGAACCCTATGGATTAGGAACGGGATGTCACTTAAGCTCATATGTGAGTCAAGGCAGGTGAGCAAATACTTTTGGCAATATAGTGTATATGTATAACGGGTTTTAGAAGATGTAGATTAAATCCTACTAAAATATGTTTTATAATTATTTGTGATGAGTGGTTTTTGGCGCCCCCTACTGGTTGGCCTATAAATACTGGGGAACAGCTGACAATTCCACAGAAGCTGTTTGGCCCCCAGCTATGGTGAGTGCTCCGGTCTGGCCATCTTCTTTGTAGAGTTGGAGTTGGGTATCCGAGGGATTACTGGACTTTTTATTGCATTACAGCTGTTGGTGAACCAGAGGGGAGGCTAACCAGAGTATTTGTTTTTCTCTACCATTCTTTACAGTAAATCTTTTTTTTTTAAACCCAACTGTCTGGCATCCGATCAGTGCGTGACGGGATGGCTAACAGAAGAGCTGTGACATATATATATACGTATATATATATGTGTGTGTGTATATATATACATATATATTTAAATACGTATACATATGTACATATATACATACATATATACATATATATATATATATATATATATATATATATATATATATATATATATATATATATATATATATATATATATATATATATATATTTAAAACATGGGTTGGGGTAGGTGTTGCGGCATGAGAGAACATGTAAAATAACTAAAAACAATCACATAGAATAAGTCCTGAACTATCTTTTTGTCCATATATGGGCTGAAAGGCAGAGGCCAAGTTGAGTGACTTACAGCGCACTTCGAGGAACACTTCCTGGTTGTCTTCACCAATTGAGTTGCTGGCAACGCAAAGATAATGACCAGCATCCGTGTACTGGACATTCTTCAGGGTGAGGGAGGATACCCGTGCGTGGCTTCGCACCACAACGTTCCTATCAAGGCTCTATAGAAAAACACACAAAAAAAAATTAAACACACATATAAACAGAGGCCTGCAGTAAAAACAAGACACCATCAACAAGATAAGGAGGGTAAAAACAAGGCTGGTTGGTTTAGTTGTGCAAAAAGGCAAAAAATGTGAAAAAGTGTAAGTAACTGGACCAGCATTTTATTGATGTTACTGATGTTAGATGCATTAATTATTATGTTATTACAACTTGAACAACACCACAAATGGATAATATAGTAGTTAGTCCTTTCACTGTTGAGTTTATCACAATAATTAGTTAAGCTTTACCAGTTTCTAAAACTAAGGATGCACAAAAGCTTACACCACGGATTGCAACATTTCAGTAAGTAGGTAAAGTAGAAATGATCGTAGAAAAGTTAAATACAGTCCAAAGACCCAACACCTGCACAAAATAATTTTAAAAATTTAGAATTTTCAGTGAATGTATTTTTACTGCAATCTAAAGTTATATAGAATTTTTGTCTTTTAGAAGAACTTCAGCGATACATATCCTCAAATCCAATTCTTTATGTGTAGCTTGGGTTTAAGGTACTGCACTGTATTCTGTCTGCACCCGCAAGATCCTATAAGTAAATAACTCATAGCTTCAACTGGAAGTCAGTCTGTGTAAAAAGGAAAAACGGTAAGCTCTTCATTTTGATTGGCATCATTACTTGTTTGGAGGCTGTTTTGGGGTTTTAAAAGCAGTATACTTACAGCTGTAGAAGCATAAAAACAATAAAGGAAATTAGCCTGTAAATGCGCGATTTTATTTTCAGCAGAGGATAATTTTTAATGGACCTACTGCTCTGCTTTTTCTTACTCCAAAGGGTTTCTGCACAGGTGTGCAACCAGCAACCAAGTACACTAAAAGTATTCATCTCGTTTTTATAATGAAGCTATGCACCTGGCCTGATCCTTGATCTTTGCTTTACATTATACTGGCTTTTGACAGCCTCCTTTTCCTCTTTCTTTCCATGCCATCTGCAGTAGACATAAACATTGTAGGATTCATTCATTTGAATTACAGCAGCCAGTGGGGATCAGACATGCAAAAGGTCCAATATAAAACAAATAATAATGATATGGCTATAAAATAACTTGAGCAGTAAAGGCTTTTCTTCCCACACAGACCAGCAGAGGACATACATCTACCTTCCAGCTTCCACTGTGTTTTATTAATAATTCAAGCATGCTCTGTGCTTCAGGTGTTATGCATTATATTTATTTACCCATATTTTTTCAGTTCCAGAAATACAGCATGAGCGGTTATGTTTTACAGAAAGATGTGATGCACATGTGTTGAAAATGTTTTGCTGTTTACTACAAGATGCAGAGGAGTGTCCTGAAACATTTTAAAAGGGCAGCATTAATCTTGTCTAACTGCAACCATGCAGCCTGTTTGAATGCAAACAGAGAAAGGTTAATGGAGAATAATACTTTAATGAGACAGCAGAAACAGGAGCGAACGGGCAGACCTTTAAAAACGATTAATTCATCAGCCCCGACAATAAAGGATGTGAATCTATCAGCTTGATTTCACATCAAATTGATTTTAATGCTGAACTTGAAAGAGATGGGACGGCAAGAAATTTTTAATATGAGCACCTTGTTTTTTTAAAGATGCATAACAGCTATAATGAAAAGTACATAATATAAAAACTTCATAAACATGTCCCATTTTTAAGAAGTATTACAGTAAAGGAAACAAAGGTGGATAAAACCCTGAAACGTGTACAAATATTTAAAAAAAATTCTACTTTCTAGCTTTAGCTCATGCATCTTTTCAGTATTTATAGATATTGTTTCTGGATTGATTTGCTCATCCCATTTGGGAACAAAGAGCCAGTCTTCTTCCTGAAGGGTGTAATGGATGGAAACACCTATGCTTATCATATTTATGTAAACTGTTAATGGAGGTGGTACATTTATGTTTTTGGAAGCTCAACCAAAAGTTAAACCAGAGTTGTAGAGGTTGAAATCTTGATTTTCTTTATAACATAAATTTAGATGTCAGACCAGGAAGCAATTTTTTTTCCCCCAAGGGGTTGCCATAATTAATATTTCTATTTTCAAATCTGTTTATTTGTATACCAATTTAATACTACTTCACCACACATGTCACATCAAGGCTGTTTGCAGAGACAATTCAATCAGATCATCCAGACAGATTGCCAAATGTTCATAGGATTTTCCAAGTCTGGATAAATATTTGTTCTCTTATTATTCTGGTAATTTTTCAAAAGCAAATTAACTGAGAAATCCTATCAGACAAAGAATACCTTCAACTTTAAGAAAATGATTAATGATCATCTGAGTTTAATAGTTAATTTTATCGCTCACTTTATTCTGAGCATTTTAATTCACAGCTAAAACAATATAAAAAGAGAAAATGTTCAACGGAATTTCTACGGTCAAAGTGTTTCTCCTTAAAACAGGTTTTTCAAATCGATTTATTTTTTATACTTATGAATAATCCTTATTTTCCCTTTATTATTCCCCTGCATTTCTTACATTTTCTACTTTTTTCATTGTGTAAAGCAACGTGATTGGTGTGGTTACTAAGATGTTTTATACAATTAAAACCAGCCTAATTCTTGCTTATGACTGAAAGAAGTTTTAACACAATATAAAATGCGAAGAAATCCTTTTTAACATAAACTCATAGCATCCCTAAAGTAAAGCACAATTTAAAAAGTTTAATTTCTTTCTTTAACCTTTAGCCATGTTGTAAATTATGGAGGAATCACTACTTCCTTATAATCCTTGTATAATTAACTTCAAAATAAAAGTTTCTGTTTACTTCAGATATCCAGAATATTACTAAATGTTCACTAGGAAGGATAGAATTAAGAATTGGATTCATTTGGAAAATAATATGCCGATATGATGGATATCTTTTTTAAAAGATAACTTTTATTTCCAACATAAATGGAGCACAGAAAGAAGAAATCCTTAAAGCTACAGTGTGTAATTTTCAGCAACATCTAGTGTCCAGACTGCAGACCGCAGCAACATGAACATCTCCCCCCCACCGCTTCTCCCCCCCAACAGTACGGCGAGCGTTACGGGACAAAATGTCTTCCACGACATCCGCATCACCTACCTTCTCAAGTGATGAGGTTTGTTTACATAGATAATTTTAATACTGCCATCAATTGTTCAGTACCGTCTCAGTTCATCTATCTCAACTTGCCGTAGTTACTTTCGAGCGTAATGGGCGATCTCGCAATCGCTAGTTTGTTGGCTCTGCGCTGCCGTAGCGCAAAGATGTCTGCCTCCATGGCTGCGAGACCCGCTCCTATGTAATTATAAATAACGAATTCTAAGGCAACGCAAATATTAAGGTTAAGAGGCTGAGCTCGTAGATGATGATAAATAACATAGTTATGTATAATATATTACATTTCTGACTGTATATCCCTGTAATTATTACACACTGTAGCTTTAAGATAAAATGTTGAAACTTTATTTAAGCAGTTAAAGGTGATTTATTCTCCCCAACCTTTTGCTTTGTACTCCTGGACAGCTGACTAACAGAGCGGTCCCACACTAAAAGACTCAATTAAAGTCTCAAAAATCATAGGTAGTCAAGGTGTGAAACTAAAGGAGTCTGTCGTTTATAAATATAAATAGGGCCTTAACTTAGCAGCAGTCTGTCTCCTTCAGTGAGAGACTGTTGAGCCCTAAATGCACCAGGGAGCGTTATCACAGATCCTTCCTCCCAGCAGCTGTATGACTTTATAACCATCACTGTTCCCAGCAACCTCGATAGTTTGTTACATTCATGCTTATTTTTGGACAGTTTCTGTTTTAGTCAGTTAAATAACTTGCTGCTGTCATTTTGCACATCTCGGATGTTGCTGCTATTTTCAAATATCAATTGCTGTAAAAATGTCCACAGCTGTATATTGGTCATTTATTCTGCAGGTGCACAGTATTAACACATTTGTGTGACCACTTTTACTATAATCTTTTTGCTGCTGTAAAACCAGAATTTACCCATTCTGGATCAATCAATAAAGGGATTTTATATTCTTTAATATTCTATTCTATATTGAAGCATAGCTATCAGCGGTGAAAATGACTGATCTTCTCTATTTCAAGCAGAAGCAAGTAGACCATGTAATACTTTTGTTTTTATTTTTTCCATGAGCTTTTAGTTTTTTTCAAAGACAATTTTCAAAGACAATTTTTACTTGACCATTGCCAAAATATCTCAGGTCCCGTTCTCCCCTTTGCCAGAAAACTAAACACATTTAAATCGATTAGCTCACAAACCTGGAATATTAGAACTTAGAAAAAAAGTAAAAAAAAGTTATAGTATAACATCTGCTTTAAAAACAGTCTAATGAACTAAAACATTATGCACTAAAACAATACAGGTTAAGTTTTCAACTAGATTCATATTTAAATCCTTTCATTTTAAAGGACTTTGTAAGAGCTACTGCAAATTCTATGTGATGTTTTTTGAGGTTCTTCTTAGAGCCCTCATTTGGTCCAGTAAAATTCATAATAAATATATCATGGTTATTTGACCTTTTCTAATTTTGATGAAAGATCACTTGAACACTCCATTCAACAGATATAACCCAGTGTCTTCTACAAACAGATTATTATTGATCAAATCGTTCTTCTGTTTAAAGGTCAACCTTCTTTGCTTCCTTAAATGCACAACTTGGACGAATTGCACTGCAGTCATGGGTTCAATCATACTTTAGATGGACCATTTGACCTGGTATACCAGCATTAATCCACAGCATGAGAGGAAAATTAGTTTATCTGAAAAGTTTTACAGTTTAAACACATCTCTGATATCCCTAAATGAGAACCTTTGCAACCACATGTCTTTGGCAAAGAGCTATTAAAAAAACAAAAGCTGTGTGCACTTTAATCTCACCATAAATGCATCAGTTCTTTTTCAGGCCTTACATAGAACATTAGCAAAGAAACGGCAGCATTAACAAAAAACCTTTTTTTTTGTTTTGTAGTTC